GCCGTCCTCCTCGAGCGCCTCCATGTCCTTGAGTCGTTGCTGCGCCGCATCGTAGTTGGAGAGCTTCTGCATCTCTTCTCGGAGCTCGGCGATCACTGCATCCTGCAAAACCGCCCATCACACCGCGTGTACGTACGCATTCAGCAGTCAGTCGGCAAACATGAACACTGGCACTATCAAAGGAAAGACAAAAAATGGTACACAAGAAAAAACAGCTGGGTCATTTGAGCACGTGGGAGAGTACTTGGGGGCGCCTCTGTTCGCCACAAACCCCGGCGGGGGGGTGGGAGGAGGATGGGTGAAGGGGCGCAGCGATATCTCTCCTTTATCATTCTCCTAGATGCGAAAATGGGACAGTATCCAATCGAGACCTATCACACAGAAAAACACGCCAAAAGAAGAGGGAAACAGAGGGCGTGACTCCGACCTTCTTCTGCTACAAAAAAAGCCTTCTTCTGCTAAAAACAAAATGCAGAGGAGCGCAATTTTTTGCAGAGGAACGTGGGACAATTTTGGACGCACAGGCTTCATCAACCCGCGTCACGTTATCCACCACCTTGTATTCGGGACGTCCTCTACCTTGGGGGCGCTGAAGCGTTGCGCGAGAGCCTCAGGGTTCTCCTGCGCCATGGCCCACAGCCCCTGTAGCTGCTGGGGAGGGATGCTCGGGCGGCCAATGTCCACCGCGCGCCGCAACGCCTTGGCCTTGATCTGCGGATTGTCGGGCGTGCGGGCAAGGGTTGGTTGGTTGGTCGCGAAGCAGCGGCGGCACGAGCGGCGGGATGCTCAAGCGATGTATCTTCGTGGAGAATCAACGATCATCGTGGTCTCAGGCACCGGGGAAGCGTAGAGTCTTTGTCTTGAAAGCCGGGGCGACAATGATCCAACGATCATCAGCAGTGTCATCGGAACTTCCAAAATTTCTTCCAACAAAACAACTTGAAAAATCAGGACGGGTTAGTGACATACGAGGGGAAACTTTGGTGTCCGATGGTGGGCAGTATGTACCGAGGAAGGACAACACGGCGGCGAAAATTCGAGGAAATCAAGTCGTCATGAGACGCAAAACAACAACCGTAGAGATTTCCCAGCAACACAGGCACACCGCACGTCTTGCGTTTTTTCTTTTAATCACTTGGGGCAAAAGTGACGCAGAGGATAAAAATGTCTTGGCGCGCAGCGAGAATCAAGCCCACCGCAAAAGCAGTGCGCGCCCGGAGACAACGAACGCATCGCGAGACCACGATACCAAACCCGATCTCCGGAGATCCACGCTTCTTCCTTCCTTCCTTCCGTCCAAGCGGGACAACTCCAACACCGTTTCTCCGTCCATAGTAACGGCCCCGATATAGCCCACTCGATAGTATGAGCCCCCAGTCCACAAACACATGCCAAAAGTTCGACACCCCTCCGAAAGCGCAACATCCAGCAGCAGTGCTGTCTTTCCTTGCTTAAGTACACAACATGCAGCAGTGCTGTCTGAACAACACGCAGCAGCAGTGTTGTCGTTCCTTGCTTAAGCACAACGTCCAGCAGTGCTGTCTAAACAACATGGCAGCAGCAGTGCCGTCATCATAATATGCACCAGAGTACTGTCTTAAGAACATGCACCAGCAGTGCTACGTTTCTTGCTTGCTGCCCGTACCTTCGGGCCGGCGCACTGCGCGGCGAGCGCCTTCGATACCGCGTCCACGTCGCCACCGGGGACCAGCTGTCGTACAACAATATCGTCATATAATAGTTGATACGGAAGAAGAAGAGGGGCAGCACGCAAGGTTAAGAGGACGGTACGCGTGCAGCAACACCAAGAGCGCGCGCGAGACGAAGAGAGAGAGCAAGAGCGAGAGTGCGAGAGAGCGAGAGAGCGAGAGAGCGAGAGAGAGAGAGAGAGAGAGAGAGAGAGAGAGAGAGACAGAGACGGAGAGAGAGACAGAGAGAGAGAGATAGACCGACAGAGAGACAGAGAGAGACAGAGAGAGAGACAGAGAGAGACAAGACAGACAGACAGACAGACAGAGACAGAGAGAGACAGAGAGAGACAGAGAGAGACAGAAAAAGCGACAGAGAGAGGGAG